ACCAGCATTGGAAAGACAGCAAGACACGCCTTCCTTCAATAATCTTAAATAATCAGTATGGAGATATGCTCCACTGCACTGCACTGCACTGCACTGCACTGCACTGCACTGCACTGCACTCAGCGTAAAGCGTGAACAACATCCGGGTTTTCAACACTTATTCAGTCAAGTAAATCACTACTCCTATGTGGTGGTTGAAAGACTTGGTGTATTACGAAAAGCATTTCCAGCAAACTACAGACATACTTCACATGAACACTTGTCGCCTACGCTCACTCGATACTGACACTGAAGATAGATCAGAGGGACTAAATAAGAGGAATAAGCAAGAAGGAAATCTGGCTGACTGGCTGGCGACGAACCAACTAAACAAGAACCCATCACCCAACAGATATGTAGGAGGAAGTGGAGATGGAGTGGATAGGATTCGATTGGATTGGACATAGACTGAGAAGACGATTTTCGGACATCATGCACCAGGCCAGGTCAAGCCGTCGAGTGGAAGGCAAATGGGAAATGACGAGTTGGGTGTCCGAGGATGGCATGGAGGAGATGGTGTGAGTTGGAAGTGAGAGCTTGTGGGCATTGGTGGAGCCAGGTTCAGAGGAGTGTAGAGAAGAGAATGGAATACCGACGTTCTACTGAAGCCGTATCTTCCACCATGAACGCAAGGGAGAAATAAATTAGATATGGCACACAATAAGTGATACATTATTACTTACTGGATAACTTTTCGAGTACAATTAATTTCACCGAAATACATCAAGGTGATTACACAACTTTTGACCTCTGATTTTTCGTGGTTATAAAGTTTTCCTTATCTGGAGTTTAGGTGTTGCATCATTACTGTTACATGTCATGGGTGTTGATCCAATCAAAAAGTTTTTCTAACCTTTTAATTAGTAAATTAAAGTGGTAAGTATCCCGGTGATATCGAGGCATCCGCATAGGGGCCCATATGCTAACAGAGGTTTAACAATTCGATCCAGTAAACAACGGAGAATTACAAGTATATCAAAAAATAGCAATAACTTATACTTGTTGTACAAGAGGTTTGTTATTGGTGACCTTGTGCATAACTCCTTGGTGTTTGAAGCAATGGGTACAGAGTTCGAGTCTCAGTGGGAACAACATCACTTCGCACTGGGATGCAGGTACATCCAGTTGATGACTCCCGGGTTCCTGTACTAACCACAACCAAATAAATCTCTCTCTTTTTGCATCTCATTGCATTGTACCTAAGTACAACTGTTTTGTCCCACCCACCTTATTTCGTAGTTATGTGTTAATGTTTACATTTTCAAAGTTACTGATTCTATTGAGCTCTGTCGTCCTACATTTAGTCAAATTCTTATATTCTAGATCGGTTAACTTAACTTATGTACTTGACCTCACAAGCGTTGCATGTTATTTGGTAGGTCAACTTACTTAGTCAAAGACAACAATCTTTGTGTCTAAGTGAGTTTATAGGTTTGTTTACCACCTTTATTGTAGACTCATTGAACATTCCAAGTAAAGTCCTTGATCTTGTCTCCTTGTTTAGCAATACAAAAGAGACCTTGAACTTTTGTTTATTTGTATTGCCTAAACTAATCATATTACTGGTAATACATACTTTTGTATGTGTTCTCAAGCATCTCCTAGAGGAAAATTGTTGATTAGCAATTAAAATTGAGGCAAAACCCCCACCAATAAAAAGACATAGACTGATAGTATAGTGACAGCTACTTAAAAGGATGCATTTAAGTAGTATATGTATCAACGTGGGAAATGGTAACGATGAATGAGTAAGAAATCAGGCAAATGAAACATACGAAATCAAAGGAAAGCTGGATACAACTATACCCCAGGGAGTAATGTTATTTCGACTGGGACTCGACCCTCGTACCCATCGCTTCAAGCGCCGAAGCTTTATCCACTAGGCTATTGGGACACGATGGCCACCTCTTGTACAACGGGAACCAGTTATTGCTATTTATTGATATGCTTGTAATTCTGCGTTGTTATACTAAACCAAACTGTTCAAATTCTGTTGGTACATAGGCTTGAAATTCATGGATTGTGTGAATATGTGAACCACAACCACGGGCGAATTTAAAGGTCAACCTGTCAACTGATAAAACAATCAATCAAGTTCGGTATTTTGACTAAGAAGACAATTTTTCATAGAAAAGTGGAACGTGACTGATTGTTTCATCAGTCTTTAGAGTGACCTTTAAAATCACTAAAAGTCTACATTTTATTATGATCATTATTATTATTTGTCCTTGAGGTTCCTAGTAGCACGTCGGTATTCCATTCTCTTCTCTACACTCCTCTGAACCTGGCTCCACCAATGCCCACAAGCTCTCACTTCCAACTCACACCATCTCCTCCATGCCATCCTCGGACACCCAACTCGTCATTTCCCATTTGCCTTCCACTCGACGGCTTGACCTGGCCTGGTGCATGATGTCCGAAAATCGTCTTCTCAGTCTATGTCCAATCCAATCGAATCCTATCCACTCCATCTCCACTTCCTCCTACATATCTGTTGGGTGATGGGTTCTTGTTTAGTTGGTTCGTCGCCAGCCAGTCAGCCAGATTTCCTTCTTGCTTATTCCTCTTATTTAGTCCCTCTGATCTATCTTCAGTGTCAGTATCGAGTGAGCGTAGGCGACAAGTGTTCATGTGAAGTATGTCTGTAGTTTGCTGGAAATGCTTTTCGTAGTACACCAAGTCTTTCAACCACCACATAGGAGTAGTGATTTACTTGACTGAATAAGTGTTGAAAACCCGGATGTTGTTCACGCTTTACGCTGAGTGCAGTGCAGTGCAGTGCAGTGCAGTGCAGTGCAGTGCAGTGCAGTGCAGTGCAGTGCAGTGCAGTGGAGCATATCTCCATACTGATTATTTAAGATTATTGAAGGAAGGCGTGTCTTGCTGTCTTTCCAATGCTGGTTGCTTTGGCATCCTCATATGTGTCGCCGTCACTGTCTTTATTTGGAGCGATAGTGCCTATGGAGGGATGTGGGTGAAAGAGGCCACTTTCTTTACATTTCTCCCGTTGAAAGTGGGTGGTGCTATATCAAATACACAAGTTTAATATGAAAAGTGTATTCACGGTAGCACATTCCTAATTTGAATGTGTAAAAATAGTCGTTAGATTTGGAATGTGAGTCATGTTTGTATGAAAGATACGGACAATCAGTGAAAACGCTTTAATCCACAGATATAAGTAGTTCACCTGAATAACTCTCAAACTGACTTCACCGACCTTGGGAGTCACCTTTGAGGGTTGCCCGCTTCATGGAAAACAGGAAACCTGGTAAGATCAGGGAAAGTGTATTGCAACGCCGAGATGTGTACAAAATGCAATCGTTCATGCATACTTACATTGCCCTTGACTATTTCTACGCCCTTTCAGAATGTTATTTCCTATTGATTTTTTGCCTCTTCAACCAATCGGATTTTTAATCGAAGCTACATGAGTCTTCTCCCCAAATTTTGAAGCAATATGATTGGCTATTTATCCAACTGAAATAAAGAAACCTAATTGGTTGTTTTTAGTATCCCAATATAATTCTCATTCTTTCTGTGTGCGAATGAGAATCTTAATCATTAATTGTTATGAATTATGAATTTCATGAATAGTATGAAAAAATCCCTGTTACAAAGATTCTTCAGCCACCTATTCAACAAAGATTCCAACGACTTCAATGTCATTCAGGTAACGACTGAAATGATCAAATAAATTTCTTCATTTCGGCTGGAAAGGTAGCTTTTTCATACAATACAAGACTGTAACTGTTTACTTTGGTAGTTGTCGGAGTGGACTTGACAGTCACGATTTACTCTGAAGGGCACTCTGGTAACTGCTGGAGTAACCAATCAGATTTCAGAATTTCTCTTGGATAGATAGTTTCTCATAGAATAGAGAGACGCAATTTGTTTATCTTACAGTTACTAGGGTGATCTTTAAAATCACACACGAGAGTCACTATTTTTTGCAGTGCTGAGAAAAATAGTTACGGTTCTCTATTTTATTTTCACGAAAATGGACCATAACCAGCTGGATTTCCGAAAGCTGATTGGTTATATCGGCGGTAATTGCTAGGACAGAATTAAGGTCAGTCCTGGTTTAACAGTCGACATCGGCGAAAGAACCCTTTAAAAGCATTGTGTACTATCTATCTAGATATTGGAGTAACTTTAAAGGCCATTCTGCAACTACTGAAATGACCAGTCAGGCTTCGGTATGTCACCTGGACAACTACTTTTTCATTAAATAGAGAAAGATAATAATTGGCTGTCTAAACAGTTGCTAGGGCTGTCCTTAAAGTAGCCTGACTTTAAAGGCCACTATGACAACAGCTAGATTAACCAATCAGATTTCAATATTTTATTAAAAATTAAAGCGACTTAAAGGCCACCATAGTAACGATCGAAATGACCAATCAGGTGTCTTCATTTCAACTGGAAAGGCAGACTTGAAAAAAACCATAGACTGGTTATTAAGGTAGTTGTAGGGTGGCCTTCAAGTCACTCTGACTAACAAGACCACCCCAGCAACTGATAAGAGCCAATTACGTTCATGTATATCATGGAAAATTACTTCTTTGGGTGAAACGCAGAAGCCTAATTGGTTATCTTAGCAGTTGCTAGGGTGACTTTTAAAGTCACTTATTTAAATGGAGTGGCTTTAAAGGTCACCCTAGCAACTGCCTAATAACCAATTGGGCTGTTATCTTTTGTGAAAAACTAACTTTCTCGTCGGAATAGCGAAACTTGATTAACTGTTCCAAGAAATGGTTATCACAGCTGTTGCCAAGGTGGCCTTTAAAGTCATTCCTAATAACACAAGATCATAACATGTTGATTTTGACAAATCTTTCATAATCAGCTTATTTTCTGGTTGTTATGTTTCAAATAAACAGTAGAGAACTACACAACTAATGAGCATAGTAACAATAACAGTAAAGGATTATTTTCAATGCTTTTTTGTGTTCTTCTTCTTATAGATCAGAATTTTTGACCTCAGATCGTTCAGGTGTGAACAGTTTGGATTCTAATGCATGTCTTTCTCGACCATTGAATCAGTCAAATGGACGTGGAAATCCACTACTGGAAAGAACAGCTTCAAGCCCGGTCGTTAATATGGCCCCAACACTGAGACCAGAAACTGTACCTGTAAGTAAACATGAATTATTACTATTACTATTTGTCCCTGGGGTTCCTAATGGAACATAGGCTTCACTAGCACATCTCCAGTGCACTTTGTTCTCTGAAATCTTTTGAACCTGGTTCCACGACAGCTCAGAAGCTCTCATTTCCTCCTCGCACGATCTCCTGCATGTCACCCTCACCTCAGATGCCCAACTCGTCGCTTCCCATCTGGGTTCCACTCGACGGGCTGACGCGTCAGCATATTTGTTGAGTGATAGGTGTTTGGTTGGTTCACTGCCAGCCAGAGTTCCTTGTTGCTTATTCCTATTATTCTGGCCATCTGGTCTTCAGTAACGAGCCAGTGTAGGCAGTTGTTGATGTCTGATATCTGTAGTTTGTCGGAAATCCCCTTCGTAATGCGTCAAGTTTTTGAGCCATATAGAAGCACAGACTTGACTGTGGTTAGTGTTGAAAATCCGGGTCTTTTTCTTTATGCTGAGTGCAGAAGATCTCCACACTGGTTTCCAGTTGATGAACGCCTATCTTGCTCCTCCAATCCTGGCTTTAACGTCCTCAGCAGCCTTGTTTTACTCCTGTCCTAACTTTAAAAGCATCTTTGAGCAAGTAAACATCAATAAATATGTGAAATTATCGGAAAAATATCTTTATAACTAATGAAGTGAGTAGCTTTGTCAGATTATCGTTGTACAAACAACCCTATCTGAGATTCGAACTAAACAATGTGCCACATTGATACTGTTTGAGTCACACTAGCTAAAATGGGGTTCGAACCTGTGACTCACATATGAAACACATCTCCAGCGCTAAGATAATGCACACTCCTCCTTCTCCTCCTCCATCCTCTTCTCTTAAGCATAGTGAGATCAGTAAGCATATGTTCCGTTTTGAAAAAGTGATTACAAATCCAAATAGTACATCTTGACTAGCCATCTAAATTCTCATTTTTCAAAACATGATTAAAAACTACGGTTACATGTTTTTAACTTGTTTTTCAATGAAAAAAACAAATAAATAAATAAATAAATGTCAGAGATAATTCAATAGTGTTTTAGGTATCTTCATGTAAGAGACATTTCAACATCTTCCTATTCTACCTATCGTCAGTCAACCATATCTAAATGTACATCCACACATGTGTTTACTTAGCTTAAACTTCATTTCTTATTTAAAAGTTGTAATAGTTATGATGAAATCTCTTGAAAATTTAATATATACAAGTAACAGGCTAATTGTACTTCTCTAATGGATAGTCATCATATTTTCTATGTTAAATTCATCATACATATATGCTAAACAAATAAAAAGACATTGAATCGTGTAATTCCCAAGTGAATATGGATATATTCATTCTACGGGAAAAATAAAAATAATAAGGAGGTCTGAATTTATTTTCAATACAATATGTTTTACTAGACCAAAACCTACTTCCTTTAGTCGAAGTTTCTTCCTTACCCTATTTACATGAGAATCAACCAATAGGCTGTTAAAGCTCAAGGTCACCTGATGGAAATTGTCCAGTATTCAGGACTGAATTCTATTGGCTAGATTAAAATGTAAGGCAACGATCGATGAAGAAATAAAGTCTATATTTAGACGCCGTGATTACCTAAGAATTTTTATGGGATTGGATATGGTTTGCATGTGTGTGTGTGTGTCCATTTCAAAATAAACTATTAGGTAAAATTATTTCTCATATTTAGTCTTTTCTCTATAGCCAAATGAAAATTTCTAAAAATAGTTTCAATACTGTAGAAGAAAAGTTTTTAGGACATTAATATCTATTGTGAAAATAAACGGATTAGATTAAAAGGTAGAGATAATTTACGGAATGAATTTGAACGATCAAACTGATACATAGTGAATTAATTTTTAATAATTACAACAAAATACTGTTAAGTGTATTTAGTATCAAAAATAGATTTATTCATCGACTAATACAATAAGTAAGAAATTGATGAAAAGTAGTGGGAAATATACTACTCAAGTCATTCAGCAGCATATCTTTTGATTCTGTTGTGTTCTCCGAGCTCGGTTGTTCAATCGTGAAGCTCCCATCGTCTTTCTAGACAAAATCACCAGCACTAACTTCACTATGAAGTGAACCATCAATATCTCTCTGTCAGTGACTGACTCAACAGCTTGTCCTCACCAACTGCTTTGCCATTGCTTGTTTGCTCTGATTATGGTGTCATTGACCACATCGATTTTCCTGTTAGCTGTTCCTCTACTTCACCTCCGATCTTTCTGTCACTTGTCGCTTTTCTCATTGGTTGATAGGTTGAGTCTATGTGTATACATCTATTGATTGCTGACTGACTGACCGACGTGAATGCCAAGCTTCTATGAATTCTCTGATACTCTTTGTGTTTCCTCTCTTCGTCCAAGATCAGGACTATATTGTGAAAACTGAACTCATGTCCATAGTTGTTATCCACATGCGTTGAAATGAGTAATGAAATGTCATGTGTGATGTTTAATGGCCGATTGGTGTTCATGTGCATGAGGAAGGAGAATACAGCGACCACTTTGTCTGATGGAGTGTTGACTGCAGTTATTGCAGTTGATTTTGTAAATGATATTTGGTTTGTCTTCTCTGATTGTTGTTGGATCCTCTTGTTTGTGTTTGGAGGTGATTTGTTGGTTTATGAGTCACATCAATTCCACTTGTTCTGAGTAATCTTGTCATGATTTCTGATATATTCTTTATGTGTGGTAGGATGATGTATTTGTTGGTTTCTGTCGATGAGATTGTAGTTGATGTTGTACGAGATAGGCATGTTGTGATGAAGTCTCATGTGCAGTCGTTCTTCTTTAGGATAGATATGAAGTAATTTTCATGGTTTCTCTGTGAGGTTGTTGTACTGCAGTGTAGTGTGTTCTGGTTCTTTTGAATAGAGTGTGCAGGCAACTAATTTTGTGGATTGTTGAGTTGTTGCTATTGTAGTTGAGGATTTGATCAGTGTGTGTTAACTTGGTGTAGTTTATTTCTGTAGTTCATGACACTTATGATCTATGGTGAGTAATTTTCAACGGAAACTCTATTGATACCACACTTGGACAGTTGAAAAACGTCTCAGCTGTGAAAAACATCAACAAGGATCGTTTAGTTTTTAAATTATTCGCAAAAGGGTACATGGAACTAGTGAAGTATCCCGTTTGAATAGCAATAAATTCTACATACTTGAAAACAGCTCATTGATGGAAGTCTTAGTAAACAGTGTGCTAACTTTATTAAGAGCATAATCACTAACAGATCTAAGCTTGCGACGTAAATTTGGCTTACTTATTGTTAAAAACTGATAGTCTTGAGTTTCAAAGTAAAACGTATCAAAAGCGTGATTGTTCATGTTGATGGGAACTTCGAATCAGTTAACTCATAAAGCTACTGACTTGTTATTAAGGTCATTATTATCAATGTGCGATATCATACGATGAAACACCGAAAACCTGATAACACTCAACATCTGTTTTATCCTAGGATGATTCTACTCATCTGCCCTCACCGGGAGTCGAACCTAGCACCTTCAGATCTTACGGTCACCACGTAACCACTAAGCCAGCTGATTGGAATCAAACGGTCAAATGTTTTCTAACCCTGTTAGTAAACTCAGCATACAGCACGAACATCACCTGTTACCATCGGTGAGTATTTCCCGTGACATCTGACTTGACTGACCACATATGTCATCCAATCCAATTAGAACGTGAAGAAACTCATTTAGAAGGAAATCTTTAATGTACATCCATCACTTCTCAAAAAACCTCTAACTTGACTTAGTAACTTGTTGGTTTCTTTCTTTGGTTCACGAGAGAATATTATGAAATAAAACTGACTGCTTTCATTGTTACACCTTCGATGACTTTCCGGAAAGATTCGTTGTCATACTAGGTGATATTATCACGACAGGTTTCAAAAAGATGTGATACTTGTTGAAATTCTAAAAATGGTCATGTAGGATATTTTTCTGCCGTAATGGTCACTGGTTTATAAGGGGTGAAGATGGTTTCCCTACGATTTCAGTTTTTATCAAGTTAGCACAAACACTGAGCTACTAAGATTGATAACCTCTTTCCCATTACGTTCGTCAACTGTCAGTAATTAGTAACCTGGTTTCGTTTCTGTGTGTTTGTAGGTTACCACTTCAGCAGAGTATCAAACCGAGAACTGCCAACATGAAGTGACGATCACATTGAGCCGACTAGGTTTTTTGATAGAAACGATTATTCTTTAAGGTTCTGTTGCTGCAGGAAGGTCTATTGCTTAGTGGAAAGACAAGAAGTCATAACTATCATGGTGTAAATACCTGACGCTATGATGAGGGTATCTAAAAACATGGATTTACTTCTGATTGCACAGGTTATGACAGGAGTAATATGCTTCACAAAGATGACCAGCTGTCCAAGCCTTTTACCACATGGAGGGGGTTACAAAGTGTCGGTTATAGAAGTAACAGACTTCTCTCTGTCTAAAAGAACTTTAGTTGTGGCAGTATATATTTTTCAAAACTCCCAATAATACTATGTGTGACCGGTTTCAAATAGATATCCTCTGGGCTGTGCAGTCATCAGAAACTGCTCCACTCTCTCATTCAGGCAACTCCTAAGGATACCATCTTTGACAGTATGGTTGGCTACAGAGTAGCCAGCCCCTAGCCACATACCACCAGAAGTATGCAAAACACAACTGACCATAATCCATCCTCCCAAAATTTTATCTCCTCCGTTACACTGACCACATATTCCTGTTATCAACATTATGCCTGAATTCACAGTTGTAAATCTCGAATTCTGAAGTATCGTACGGTGGAATAGCGTTGTTTGCTGGATTAGGTTTCGGACATAATTTATTGTCCATAGTTATATGAAGATGTGTTCAGTGAGCAGGGTTAGTTTAGACAGAAGCTATGGACTTCGCTGCATAAAGCAGGACACTGAGATGCAGTGATATTGGTGGTCGACTTTAGTACTCCAGTAGGTAGACGGAGCCAAACAGAAATATATTT